CTGCCCCTTGATGTTCTGACCCTTCTTCAGAGAAGCTGCATCTGTGATTCCTTCCCTTTGCTCAGCCATAAAATGTTTTCCTTTTATCTCATGGGACCCTGGCAAAGCTCCTTCAACCCTTCCTTTCCCATACCTGCATCTGTCTCTCAAGATCCCACATGCTTAGAAGAATGGCTCTTTTGCTCCCAAGGTTGCTCAGGATCTTCTAAATATTGATCTATCCAATCGACTACACCCTAGGCTATTCAACCCACAGAAAACTATACCACCTTACTATTGAGACCACATGGGTTTATACCTAATTTTTGTCTAAAATTCTTGTTACTCTTCATTCCGGTTGTTTCTTCAACTGGATTTTTTAAACAATTTGGTATAGCAATGGGGAATTAGAAAACTTTGAGTTCAGTCCTGACAGGAAATAGGTGTGTAATTGAGTCTCAGATCTCCTCATCTGCATAGTAGTTAATTCCTACCTTGCAGGATTGTGGGGACTAAATGAGAGACACAGATAAAAGCTCTTTTCTAGTTCTATGCATATAAAATATATTCTCTGAACAGGTATTGTTAATGATGAGGGCAGAGACCGCATCTTAAACTTTTTATAACCCCATACTCATAGCAAAACGAATACATGGCTTTTGCCTAATACTACTTATAAATTGGTTAATTTTGGTAGTTCAGGGATGAAACTTAATAATAAGCCCAGGATAAAATGTTTTTACATAGGAGTTTATTTTTACATTCACATCTGACAGTATATTATGTTCATTTAAATCTGACCGTGTGTATATATTTAGTTGAAAGACCAAAGTGTGACCCAGAGACCTTTAAAAACAAGCCATCTGGTAGAGTGGTAGCCACCAGTTTGTAAAGTCTTACCACTTTTCTGTACACTCTTTCTTCAAATCATTGTTTGTTTTGCTTAATTAAAACGAAACACCAGACTCTTAATTGCTGCTCAGAGAGATGGACTGGTGGCTTCCCTTGTTTTTAATAGATCAAGATGTCATTATGTCGCTAGAGCAAGTAAACGCTCTGTCTACTTACAACATGAGTAATCTTTAGGGCACTCTCTTTCCAAGTAACTTTTTTTTTTTTGAAGATTTTATTTATTTATTCATTAGAGAGCGAGCGAGAGAGAAACAGCATGAGAGGGGAGAGGGTCAGAGGGAGAAGCAGGCTCCCTGCTGAGCCAGGAGCCCGATGAGAGACTCGATCCCGGGACTCCGGGATCATGACCTGAGCCGAAGGCAGTCGCTTAACCAACTGAGCCACCCAGGCGCCCCTCCAAGTAACTTCTTAAAACCTTATCTCTTCAAGATTTTCAATTTCTCTGGCAATCAAATTGAAACACTGAGATATCAAACTGGCAATGATGATAAGACATGGACGGAGAATTGGAAACTTGGAGGCACTGTTGGTGAAGTGTAAACTGGCACCAGCCAGCCTGTCAGGAAGGCAGTTTAGCAGCACATAGCAAAATGTGAAGGTGCATAGCCTCTGACCCGTCATTGTTAGAATTTGTCCTAAGAATTCAGGTGCACAAAATAAGATGTTTTAAGGATATTTATTGCAGCATTGTTTATACCAGTAGAAAAAATGCAAAAAACCCAAATTTCCACTAAATAATGCTTTTGTCCATGTTATAGAATGTTAATCAGTCATTGGAAAACACGATACAGGCAATCCTTGCTTTGCACAGTTGTGTAGGACCCTAAAAATCACCATACAAACTAAATTGCAAAACAATGTTAAAAAAGTGGGGGGGAGAATAGGATTATTCTATGACCTTTAAAATTTGTCAAACAAAAAATAGGAAAACTAATATTTAGTACATTATGATTTAAAACATTACAAGATTAAGAATTCAATTGTTTTATTCCTTTGTAAGAAAACTTAGCAAGAGTAATTTGAACAGTACTGCTCTTCTTCTACTCATAAAACTTTCAGTATGGAGTGACTCTCCTATAATTTGGTGAATTACCATACTACTTCCTGAGTTCAGATAGCCTCCCACACTTTATCCTTTGTACTTGCAGTGTCATGAAATATCTGCAAGAGTTCCTTTAATGTGAAATATTTTGCTGTTGTCACTTCCTCTGAGATATCTTCATCCTTTCTTTTTTTTTTTAATTTTATTTATTTGAGAGAGAGAATGAGATAGAGAGAGAGAGCATGAGAGGGGGGAGGGTCAGAGGGAGAAGCAGACTCCCTGCCGAGCAGGGAGCCCGATGCGGGACTCGATCCTGGGACTCCAGGATCATGACCTGAGCCGAAGGCAGTCACTTAACCAACTGAGCCACCCAGGTGCCCCTATCTTCATCCTTTCAATCACAACTACTTTCCTTGTTCATGTCAATAAGTTCATCTTTACTAAGTTCCTCTGGCTGCATATCTGGAGTTTCTCAACTAGGACCATGTCTCTATGGTCAGCTACTATTTCTGACTCCATGTACATTCTATTCAGATTTCACTTATGGTATTCTGTTTTTCTTTGTGTTACTTTTTTTTTTAAGATTTATTTATTTATTTATTTATCTATTTATTTATTTATTTATTTGTCAGAGAGAGAGCACGCAAGTGAGCACAAGCAGGGGGAGCGTCAGGCAGAGGGAGAAGCAGGCTCCCTTCTGAGCAAGGAGCCCGATGTGGGACTCGATCCCAGGACCCTGGGATTATGAGCTGAGCTGAAGGGGGACGCTTAACCAACTGAGCCACCCAGGCATCCCTCTTTGTGTTACTTTCATCTTGTTAGCCAGTTCCCTCTTTCAATTATCTGCTTTTATAAAATGTCACATAGGTTCATTAGTGGGAGACAAGGAGGCAACGCAACTACACATTCTGCTGTTTGTATAAACTAACAACATGTGCAGTGACCAATCACTGACAGATTTTGAAAGAGGTGACATGATTGATCCCTAAACATGATGAACATCTGTTATTTGCAGAACGATTTATGGACTGGAGAGTTAGCCGTGAAGTTTGTATTTTTGCAATTACTCATAGTTAATATACCATGATAACTGGAATTTGAACCATGTTGTTAGAAGATGGGTGTAATTTAACAAAACAGTGGTAACTGAGAGTTGTATATATCAGAACCATGCAAAGCTAGGACTACATATATGTATAGTCATTGTTATTGAAAGCTCTGTCTGTGAGCTAGGCATTCTTTACTTCCCCCCCTTCTCCCCACTCTCTGCCCTTTTCCACTCTGATGTGTGCCCTAGGAGGCCAATTTCTATAGACTGCATCAACCAAGTACCCTTCTCAATGGCTTCTAATTGGATTTGGTCTTTGGAAAGCACCAACACGAGATCAAATGGAAGGAGAAGAGAAAGGTCAGGATATTTATTTTCCTTCTCTGCTGAGCCACCTTTTGGCCATTTCTGCTGTCCTCTCCTGAAGGCCACAGCCTGCACTGAGCAGAAGGTCACAACTCCTTCCATATAGCCACAGCTTCTTCTCAGGTTCCAGTTAACTACGCTCTCTCTTTGCCCCTTCAGGTCTAGAGGTGGTTATAGCTTCCTATAGTCACTAGTTCTAGAGTACATCACCATCCCTTTCTGTTTTCTTTAAAGCTTCCCAAACCTTTGTTTATGAGCACTTCACAAAACTGTCTTCAAGCATATCACTCCTGAGTGTGCCATGTGTTTTCCACCGGGACCCTAACCTAGATACCATGTCACACTGTTTACGGAAAATGATATGTACATATCCAAATATGTGTGTGTACTCAGAGAGGTCTGAAAGGATATAAACAGCAATGTCATTTTTAACCCTATGCTTTTTTTCCTATGTGCTTTTTTTTTTTTTTTTAAGATTTTATTTATTTATTTGCCAGAAAAAGAGGGAGCCAGAGAGCACAAGTGGACGGGGGCGGGTGGCAAAGGGAAAAGGAGAAACAGGCTTCCCGCTGAGCAGGGAGCCCAATGTGGGACTCGATCCCAGGACCCTGGGATCATGACCTGAGCCAAAGGCAGATGCTTAACCAACTGAGCCACCCAGGCAACCCTCATATGTGCTTTTAAAAAATAAGTAGATGACATATACTGATGGATTATTTCAGCTTCAAAATAATTCATCCATTTTTCTAATTTAGTCAAATCTTTACAGAAATCATTTTCAAATTAACTACAGGCATACCTTGGAGATACTGCAAATCAATTCCAGACCACCACAATAAAGTGAATATCTCAATAAAACAAGTCAAATGAGATTTTTTGGTTTCTCAGTGCATATAAAAGTTATGTTTACACTATATTGTAGTCTGTTAAGTATGCAATATGTCAAAAAAAAAAAACAATGTGCATCCCTTAATTTAAAAGTACATTGTGCTAGGGCCCTGGGTGGCACAGTTGGTTAAGTGTCCAACTCGGTTTCAGCTCAGGTCATGATCTCGGCATTGCAACATCAAGTCCTGCATCAGGCTTCGAATTCAGCAAGGAGTCTGCTAAAGTTTCTCTCTCCCTCTGCCCCTCCCTGCTTTCTCTCTCTCTCTCTTTAAAATAAATATTTTTAAAAAATAAAAATAAACAAAGGTACTTTATTATTAAAGAATGCTAACCATCTTCAGCCAGTCATAATCTTTTTGCTGGTAGAGGGTCTTGTCTCAATGTTGACAGCTCCTGACTGATCACGGTGGTGGTTGCTACAGGTTGGGGTGGCTGTGGCAATTTCCTAAAATAAAACCATAACAAAACTTGCTGCATCAAGTTTTGACATTGACTCCTTCATGAACAATTTCTCTGTAGCATATGACACTGTTTGATAGCATTTTACCCACAATTGAACTTCTTTCAAAATTGGAGTCAATCCTCTCAAACCCTGCCACTGCTTGATCAACTAAATTAATATGATATTCTAAATCCTTTGTTGTCATTTAAACAACCTTCACAGCATCTTCACCAGACATAGATTCCATCTCAAGAAACCACTTTCCTTGCTCATCTGTAAGAAGGAACTCCTCACCCATTAAATTTTTATCATAAGGTAGAAGCAATAATGCAGCTGATGACATAACATTTTTCCCCATCAGATTAACCGTGTTGATCCAGCTGAACCATTAGCCAGTGTTTTATCTGATGCATTGGAACGGAAAAAAAAAAAAGAGAGAGAACAGCAATTCAGCCACCTTCAGGTTCCATTTCTAATTCTAGTTCTTGCTGTTTCCTCCAGTGAAGTTTGAACTTCTCAAAGTCATCCATGAAGGTTGGAATAAACTTCCTCCAAACTCTTGTTCGTGATGATATTTTGACCCCTTCCCATGAATCATGAATGTTCTAATGGCATCTGGAATGGTGAATCCTTTTTAGAAGGTTTTCAATTGTCTTTGCCCAGATCCATCAGGGGAATCACTATCTATGGCAGCTGTAGCCTTATGAAAGGTATTTCTTAAGTAATAAGACTTGAAAGTCAAAATTACTCCTTGACCCATGGCTATGGAATGGATGTTGTGTTAGCAGGCATGAAAACATTCATCTCTTTGCACATCTCCATCAGAGCTCTTGGGTGACAAGCAGCATTGTCAATAAGCAGTAATATTTTTATAGGAATCCTTTATTCTGAGCAGTTGGTCTGAGCAGTGGGCTTAAAATAGTCAGTAAACCATGTTGTAAATAGATGTGCTGTCTTCCAGGCTTTGTTGTTTATAGACCACACACAGAATAGGTTGAGCATAATTTGTAAGGGCTCTAGGATGTTCAGAATGGCAAATGAGCATTGGCTTTCACTTCAAGTCACCAGGGGCATTAGCCCCTAAGAAGAGAGTCAGCCCGTGCTTTGAAGATTTGGAGCCAGGCATTGACTTCTCTCTAGCTATGAAAGTACTGGAGGCATCTTCTCTCAACAGAAGGCTGTTTTGTCTACATTGAAAATCTGTTTATTATCATCAATTTCAGTAGTCATCTTAGCTTGATGTTCTGCATAACTTGCTGCAGCTTCTACATCAGTACTTGCTGCTTCACCTTGCACTTTTATGTTAAAGAGATGGCTTCTTGCCTTACACATCATGAACCAACCTCTGCTAGCTTCCAACTTTTCTTCTGCAGCTTCCTTACCTCTCTCAGAATTGAAGAGGGCTAAAGCCCTGCCCTGGTTTAAGCTTTGGATAAGGAAATGTTGTGATTGCTTTGATCTATCGAGACCACAAAACTTTATCCATATCAGCAATAAGTCTGTTCCACTTTCTTATCATTTAGGTGTTCACTGGAGTAGCACTTTTAATATCCTTCAAGAATTTTTCCTTCACATTTACAACTTGACTAGCTGTTTGGCACAAGAGGCCTAGCTTTCAGCCTGTTTCAGCTTTCAACATGCCTTCCTCACTAAGCTTAATCATTTCTAGTGTTTGCTTTAAACACTGTGCTGCATTCATGATTGTGGATTAAAGAGATTTCCTCCATACATTTTTATGGTTGCCCCACTTTTTATAAGACATTCAGAAAGTGTAATAATAATAATAATATCCTAGTTTCTTTTTACTTTCCAAGTCTAGAACACATGGAACTAATAACTCTTAACAGACTACTTCACAGAATACTGCTCTGACCCATCTATGTGGAATGCTCTCAGGTATGAGTAGTGCCTAGAATAGGAGAGGGCTCTACACCAGGTCCAGGCTGTGGTTCAAGCAGCAGAACCTATGGTTCTAATTGTATCACTGGTGGAAAAGATACCATGTGGAGTTTATAGGCAGCCTCAAGAGGAGAATCACAACATAGTCCCCAGAGGTTCTGGAGCAATGCTATGCCATCTGCAGCAGAAAACTATACACCATTCAGTAAACAGCCCCTGGCTTGCTACAGGGCCCTGGTGGAGATAGAGCACCTGATTATAGGACATCAAGTGACCATGTGGCCAGACCTTCCCATTACATGCTGGGTTCTATCAGATCCACCAAATTATAAGGGTCAATAGCAATCCATCATAAGATAGTGGGTTGTACATCTGGGACTGGACTTGAATAGAAAAAGGCCCAAGTAAGTTAGATGATCAGGACTCTCAGGGTCCCTTGTCATCACTACTGGTGCTTCATTGCTCCTCAGCTCAAACTTATGACCTTGTATGGGACAGAGGGGGAAAGGACCTGTTGGCAGAGGAAGAAAAGGGCCATATTTGGTTCAGGATTGGGCTGACTTTGCAAGTAACTGCTGTTGAACACTACTACCCTTGAGTGGTGACTCAAGGGTGGACTTGAAAGATTTTAAATCCTTCCAGTGGACAGTGCCTCTGGCTATCTGTTTCGTATAGAAAGAGAAGTGGCCCTAGGTAAGACTATACATTCATTTGTGGGCAAATGAAATGGCTACGCTGATTAGTCAGAGGCAGGGAAAGAGAAAGTTTGGAAATTGGGAATAAGGAGGCTTATAAAAAAGACATATGCGGGGCACCTGGGTGGCTCAGTCATTAAGAATCTGCCTTCGGCTCAGGTCGTGATCCCAGCGTCCTGGGATCGAATCCCACATCGGGCTCCCTGCTCGGCAGGAAGCCTGCTTCTCCCTCTCCCACTCCCCCTGCTGTGTTCCCTCTCTCGCTGTCTCTGTCAAATAAATAAATAAAATCTTTGAAAAAAAAAAAAAGACATATGCACAAAATGTAAAGATCTTAGCATCACATGTCAATGCCCCCCAGAGAAGAAGCACCACGGAGGAGGCACTGGTGGACAGAGTGACTGGGCTAGCTGATGTCAGCCACTGCAAGGCTGGCACAATAGGCTCTTGAAAGAGTAGCCCAGTGGCAGAGATAGTGGATATGGACCCAGTATGAGTTTCCACACACCAAAGCTGATCTAATTATTCTCACTGCTAAATGTCCTATCTATTAGTGACAAAAATCAGTGCTGAGCCCCAGTATGGCACCATCTCTTGAGGAAACCAACCCTTCACTTTTTAGCAAGTTGATTACATTGGACCCTTCCACCCTAGAAAGGGCAGCCATTCCCCTTGACTTGACTCAACACATACTTAAGGTATGGGTTTTTCTTTCCTTTCCACAAAGTCTCATCTAGTAACAATATCCAGCAGCTTACAAATTTTGATCTAGCAACATGGAATCCCACACGACAACTCATACTAAGAGTCCCACTTTATAGCAAAACAGTAGGCACAATACCATGGGGTCTACTGACTGGGGAGTCTAGCACCTTGTTAAAAATTTATGTGTGAGGGCGCCTGCGTGGCTCAGTTGGTTAAGCAACTGCCTTCGGCTCAGGTCATGATCCTGGAGTCCCGGGATCGAGTCCCGCATCGGGCTCCCTGCTCAGCAGGGAGTCTGCTTCTCCCTCTGACCCTCCTCCCTCTCGTGCTCTCTCTCATTCTCTCTCTCGCAAATAAATAAAATCTTAAAAAAAAAAATTCATCAAAAAAAAAATCTATTTGTGATTTTTTAGGCCTGGCCATAGGTGCTTACAAAGGCCTTACCTGGCAGGCCTCATAGGGGAAAGGTGCCCTGGCAGTCTGGCGCACAGCCAATGCATCACAATCTCTGAAGGGAGATGCAATCAAGGATTCAGACCCTTTGGCTGGTCACACTCCTCACATATTTATATTCCTAACCTTCATTCTTGGGTTTTTCTATCTGAAGTCTTGGGCAGAAGTGTTCTACAGGTCTGCTGAGACCTCCTTAGAGAAGAGAAGAGGGGGATGCACCCTGCAGGTGCATCTCCACTAGGGCAAATTTGTCTGAGAATCAGCACAACAGGCCCCTCCCCGAGAAGACCAGCACAAACCCCTTGCATGCACCAAGTCTACTGATCACAGAGTGCTGCAAGGCTTCAGCTCTAGGGGAAATAGGATCTAGCTTCCGTTTTATTTTATTTTATTATTTTTGGATCTGGCTTCTTTTCTTTTTTTAAAATATTTTATTTATTTATTTGACACAGAGAGAGAGAGCACAAGCAGGGGGAACAGCAGAGGGAGAGGGAGAAGGGGGCTCTCCACTAAGCAGGGATCCCAATGCGGGGCTCGATTCCAGGACCCCGGGATCATGACCTGAGCCAAAGGCAGATACTTAACCAACTGAGGCACCCAGGTGCCCCAATTCTTTTTAAGATTTTATTTATTTACTTATTTTAGCGAGAGAGGGAGAGAGAGAGCGAGCACACCAATGCAGGGAGGGGCAGAAGGAGAGGGAGAGAATCTCAAGCAGACTCCACGCTGAGCTCAGAGCCCGACACATGACCCCAAGACCATGAACTGAGCCGAAATCAGGAGTTGGATGCTCAACCAATGGAGCCACCCAGGCACCCTGGTGAATAATTCTTTTAATGTATTATTGGATTTGATTTGCTAGTATCTTGTTGAGAATTTTTGCATTCATGTTCATCAAGGGTATTGGCTTATAATTCTCCTTTTTAGTGGGGTCTTTGTCTGGTTTTGGAATCAAGATAATGCTGGCCTCATAGAAGGAGTTTGGAAGTTTTCCTTCCATTTCTATTTTTTGAAACAATTGGAGAAGGGACGCCTGGGTGGCTCAGTTGTTAAGCGTCTGACTTTGGCTCAGGTCATGATCCCAGGGTCCTGGGATCGGGCCCTGCATCAGGCTCCCTTCTCATCAGGGGAGTCTGCTTCTCCCTCTGCCTCTGCTCCTGTGCTCTCTCTTGCTCACTCACTCTCTCTCAAATAAATAAAATCTTTAAAAAAAAAAGAGAGAGAGAGAGAGAATTGGAGAAAAATAGGTATTAACTCTTCTTTAAATGTTTAAATGTCTGGTAGAATTCCCTGGGAAGCCATCTGGCCCTGGACTTTTGCTTATTGGGAGATTTTTGATTACTGATTCAATTTCTTGGCTGGTTATGGGTCTGTTCAAATTTCTTATTTCTTCCTTTTCAGCTTTGGTAGTCTGTATGTTTCTAGGAATTTGTCCATTTCTTTCAGATTGCCCAGTTTGTTGGCCTAGGATTTTTCATAATAGTCTCTTATAATTATTTGTTCAGTGGTGTTGGTTGTGATCTCTCCTCTTTCATTCGTGATTTTTATTTGGGTCCTTTCTCTTTCCTTTTTGATAAATCTGGCTAAAGGTTTATCAATTTTATTAATTCTTTCAAAGAACCAGCTCTTAGTTTTACTTGTTCTACTGGGTTTTTGTTATTGTTG